TTGGAGGTCAGGAATCTTCTCCATGTTTGGTAAGCTTGTATGCGTTTCTTTGGTGGACTGAGGGACTGTCTTTGTTGCTCATCTGTCTATTAGGTTACTTGGCTTTTATTGAAAAGGCTGAAAAAGTAAGTTATTTAAGGGAGGGCAGAGGTAAGGGGAAAAAAATGAGAATCAAGACTTGCCATGTAAAGGTACATGATCCCAACAATGAATGTAACTGTACTGTATCCCTAAATGTACCAATAAACTCAATTAAAAAAAAAAAAGATATATAAAATGACCAAACTTGCTCGGGTAAAACCCTTAAAATTCCTTTCAGGAAAACTGAGGCTCGCAGCATATCAATTTATAGTTTAACATTAGACCAGCTCAGTGGATGTTAACATCTTGTGGCCAAAACTCGACGCCACTTGTAAGTGACAGCTGACAGGAAAACAGCATCTGCCTGCTTTTTTGTCACTGGAAGAAAAAGTTTGAATCTCAAGTGCACTAGCTTGGGAAACAAAGTCTACTTTTAATGTCTCTAGTACTAAAGGAGTGATTTGACGGCAGTTTCTTTTTTATAAAGTCTTCTTTTAATTTTAACTTTCATTAGTACGTGTTTACAGCGCATAATGATTACATTCATCTTGGGGAGTTGGTACGCAGACATAGCACATCTTAGTTCTTTCTGTGCCTTCCCCTCCCCTCGTGGCAGTTTGTTTTGGCTCCGCAATTGACAGTTGGGAACTAGACACATTACTGATACTGTGCATATTTTTGATTGGAATTGAAATGTCGTCTAGAAAGCACTTGCACGAGAACCAAAGTCGTTCCGGGTTTGTGTTCTGCTAGCCGCTGTGTTCTTAAAAGTCAGTGGTCTTCTGTGAGTATGGCCTGACAAAGATGTGGGATCTCTGCTGACAGCCGTGCTTGTCACAATTACATTTATACCCTGCCGATTTTTTAGGGCTGATGGATTTTGACCAAATAGGGAATTTTAAACAAATTTATCAACTTGTGAATTGTTTTGCTCCCATAGCAGTCGATGAAGAATTCCAACTGGACATATTTTCTGAGGTTTGCCCCATATTACAGTTATCGCCAGATGGTAGTGTTCCCTTTGAGATCTAGAGAAGATGATGTGTCTGTTTTCATACTGTGAAGTGGAAGTGGGCAAACTTTCTGTGGAACATGAGAGAGGAAATACTTGGGGCTTCGTGGGCCCTGGCTTCTGTTGTGGTGACTCAGTCTTCCTGTTGTGGCCTACATGAAAACAGCATGGACAACACAGGACTTCGAACTGTGCATTTGTGATCTGAAGCAGGACCTTTCCCTCCTGGGATACTGATTAAAGACCTCAGAAATTAGTCATGTGCCAGATTCTTCTCGTGAGCACTACACTTGAGCAGCCTTTCTGTGTCAGTTGCTTTTCTCCCATTGCTGAGACAAAATACCTGACACCCCAAGTTAAAGGAGAAAGGGCTTATTTAGCCCAGTTTGCAGAGGTTTCAGTCTATAATCGGCTGCTCCGAGACAGGGTGGCACACGGCAGAGGGCGTCACAGAGGAGAAACAGTTCATGGCGCCCATACAGTAGCAAAAGCAACAAGGGACCTTAACAGAGTCTTTCTGCCCCTTTTATCCAGACTACCAGCGGTTAGGGCGGTGCTGAACCAATCAGTGTCCTGGTTTAGTAATCAGATGCCCTTAATTCCAGCATCACACACTCTAGACTCAGCCATCTCTGACTGCACGAGGCACTGGGGGGACATCTAGACCCAAAAAGTAACACCTCAGTACTGCAGCAAGCAGGTTACTGAGCAGAAGCTTTGGAATAGTCTAGCACAGTCAGTGAAACTTGAGAGGACTTCCGCTTTGGCTCCCTGTGTAGCCTGCTTGGAGACTGAGGGTCATAACTTGAGGACTGAGAAGCCCTGGTCTTGCAGGTGATAGTGTAGTTTATCTTCTCTGTGCCATTGGCATTGACTTTGAAAATGTCGAGGCTTTCAGTCCTTAGATGTTGTTTCACACCTAATATATGAGCTGAGTCCCTGCTGTGTCCATTCTAGGGTACTAGGCTGTAAGATGATAAAACGAATCAAGGAAGTTGCTTGGGAAAAAATGAACCAGGGAGTGATTAGGGAGGACTTTGACATAGCAGCCTGAAAGAAAAAGAGTGGGCAGTCGCTACTTTTAACAATAAATGGGGTGATTAGTGATATCACACCTGCCTCCTAAGCCCAAGTCCAGTGTTAGACCCCTGGGGCGGGGTGGGGGGCTGATAATTGAGTGGGATGCCCGATGCCATATTATCTGAGATAAGGTGAGATTTGGCTCAGGGATTTAGCTCAGTGGCTCTGTACTTATCTCGCAAGCACAAGGTCCTAAATTCGATCCCTGGTACTGAAAAAAAAAAAAAAAAGAAAGAAAGAAAGTGAGATGCAAGGGCAGGTTGGATAAGACTGGTATAAATAAAGATGGTGACAAATCTGACCAAGAGTTGACCCTAAGCTTCCCGACTTGCCCGCCTGTGCAGTAACTGAACTCCACTCGTTCTTGGAGAAAAATGATGAATGATTAATGATTGTCCTTTGGGACACCATATTGTTAGGGCCTGACTGTGGAGTGGCCAACTCTCTGGCCCTTCCTGAGACTCTCTGTGGAGACAGCTTAGGTGTCTCTTTCTGGGACTGGGCTGGGTACGAGGAAGCCAGCTGTGTTTCTTTCTTATGATAAACTGTTTCCATGTAAATGCAGCTAAGGACCTACACTAGCCAGTGACATGGGAAAACTAGACATTTTAGCAGAAGACTATCATCAAAGTTGTTTTGTGAAATTTGTGTATGAATGTATCATAATTTACTTCGTTATAAATGCCTTATTAATGGACTGAATCATTATTAATGATTTACTCTTGCTCCAGGCTCCAGTATGTCTTGGCATGGTGCTCTTACGAATTCTTTCTGTATTCAAAATTCTGATGTAGTCAGGCGTGATGGACCATGCCTGTAGTCCCAGCACTCTGGGAGGGTGAGGCACATGAGCCCAGCCTGGACAGCTCAATGACTTAGTGAGATCCTCTCTCAAAATAAAAAAATAAACAAAAAACCCTACCAGATATAATACTTATTGTTGGATTTTGTCATTATTTTTAATTTTTAAAAGCTATTGAATATATGTATGGTGGTTAGGATGCAGAAGCAGCTTGCTTTTGGGCTTTGCCTGGGGATTGGTGGAACACACTTCTGGGTGCATTTAATGGGTCGCGGAGGTGTGGCCTTGAGGCTCTGGACCTGGTCCCTGCCCCTTCCTCTCTGGTGGTGTCCCTGCTCTCCTTCCTGGCCGCCACAAACTTGGCAACTTTGCTTCACCATGATGCTCCCCCTTGGAGCCTGCTGACCATGGACTGAATCCCCTGAAAAGGTGAGCTAAATTAAACCTCCCCTTCCTACCTTTTGGCTCCTGAGAGCCCTGCTTTCAGGGTGGCCCTTGCATCTTTTTCTCTGGTTGCTCCTTAAACCTTGCTGTCTTTGGTGTAGACTTAGATTGCACTGTATGCAGACTTGCATTTTTGCATTTCTTGAAATGTTTTTGTGACTCCTGGATCTGAAAGGTTTTATTTATTTCCTCATTCTGGAAAAGTCTCAACCATTATGATTTTAAAACATTTTTTCCTCCACTGTTCTTTCTACTTTTTCCTTGTGGAGCCCTAATTGGACACACATTGGACTTTCTCACTCTAGCCTCTCTCATCCATTTTTCTTTCTTTTCTATTTTCTGTTTAGTATTTCTCCTTTCACATGTGTTCATTTACCTTGCATTTTAGCTTGATTATTAACATTTTTCATAAGTTCTATTATTTTATAATTGCCTGGTTATCCATAATAGTAGCCCTGACTTTTTGATCACGTTTTAATTTCTTTTAAATGTGTATTCACTTAATAAACATACCTATTTCTGTTCTGTAACTGCTGCTTCTAGTACCTGAGAACTTCTTGGCTTCTGGCTCTGTCAGCGAATCCTTTTGCTGGCTGTTACTTGTAGTCTTGGCCCGTTTCATGCCTGGGGAACTCACTTCTGTTACTACTACACTGATGAGGACTCTGCACACGAGGCGGAGGACCCCGGCCTGTAGTGTCCACTTGGCGGGGGGACCACCATCCCGGGGCTGTTTTCTGCTGCGGTCGTTAGCATGTAAGTTTTCAGGCCCCATGGCAGTGTATACTCGTGCCGTGCTCTAACACTGACTTTCCTGGCTGACTCTGTTGTGCTCACCTTCCACATTGTTCTCCATCAGAGATGTTTCCCTTTGTTTCTTATAAGCCTGTTGGTTATTTTGAAGCTTTTGAAAAATACTTGTTTAGCCCTTTCTGTTGCTCTACAGTGTGAGGGGTCTGGGCTCTTTGGTACTGAGGTCTCGGTATTCTGCAGCATTTTCAGAAGCTAGAGTCCTATAGTTTCTAGCTTCCACTGGATTCTGTTTCCAGTTGTGATTCGGTCCCTGAGACTGTACAATTCTGTATCGCTAAGGGGTCTGCTTTATTGGCTGTTCGGGGTGGGAGGGATGTGATCATCTGTACCCCCCATGCTGTGGACTAAGTAGCCTCGTGTGGCCTGTATGGCTGCCTGATGTCGCGTGTCATGCTCATTGGCACCATTAGACATGGGTGGCTGCGTTGGACTTTGAGAACATGTTCACTTAGGAGCTGAGGACCTTCTGTACATCCGCGGGCCTGGTGCTGCAGAGGTGAGCAGTGTGCGGTTTCTCTGGGGCCCTCTCTGCCTGCATGCCTGCTTTATGTGTCTGTAAAAGGGGGTTTGTGATGTCACTGCTGAAGTTTCCCATGCTCCCGGACTTGGGTGGACGAAGATCTCTGCACACAGCTTCCGCTCACCGTATGTCCTCTCTTTTTGGACATCGGAGGTGGGAGGAAGCCTCTGGACACCTTCAGGTCCTCTGGAGGAGGAGATGCTGTTAGGGAGGGCCAGCGCGCCAACACCATTTCTTTTGCATTTCAGGTTAATGCTGATGTCCCTGTACAATGTGAGCATCAATTTGAAAGGCTTAAAGTACATCAGTGAGAGCCCTGGCTTCATCCCTTTGCTGTGGTGGCTTTTGAGTGGTAAGTGGTGTTATTTGCACACTTCTTGCACAGTTGTGTGCTGTGCCTCTGCAGCAGGAGGAAGTGTTAATGGATTAAAAGTCAGGAGCGATCATCTCAAGATGTTATATCTGCTGGGCATTGTGGCACATTGTAGTAGCTGTAATCTCAGCTACTTGGGAAACTGAGGCAGGAGGATTGCAAGTTTGAGACTAGCCTGGGAAACTCAGCAAGGTCTTGTCTCAAAATGAAAAGGGCTGGAGATATAGCCAAGTGCAGGGGCCCTGAGTTTAATCCACGTAAAAGGGGGGTGAGGAGAGGAAAGGGAGGGGGAACAGATAGATATTACATACTAGTTATTTAAAAATGACTTCGAACCCTAGAAAATACGTCGGTGTGCTGAATGGACTTTGACTGTGGTTCTCAGGTATTGCTTTCACCTTAGTCATGATTAGCTGGTGAGCTGTGACAGGAAGATTATCTTATACACCAGCATCAGCTGCACAGTGCTGTGTCTGGAGTCTGTGGAAGGGGTCCTGTTGTGAAGCATTTGGGGGGAATCAGAGTGCTCAGGCTTTATCTGTGTGTGTGTGTGTGTGTGTGTGTGTGTGTGTGTGTGTGTGTACGCACGCGCATGTGTACATGTACTCATACACTGAAATCTTTACGGCTGGGGTGCCGGCCGTGTGGTAGAGCACTTGCCTGCGTAGGTATGAGTGAGGCCCTGGTTGGAACCCCAGCACCACAAAAATGTCTTGAAAATAAAAATCTATCTTTATGGCTTCTTTTCCTCTGCCCTTACTACTACCAGTTAGCCTAAAGTGTTATTCCAATTTCACTACAATTTTAACACTATGCTAACGGGTGTCTTGTACATTTCCTTTGAGTATGCAAAATCTTCCCTTGTTTTTTCATAGTGCAGATCTTTTTTTAACTTCATTTCACTTAATGCTTATTTTCTCTACTATTTAAAATGGACATTTGGGGGCCAAGGATTTGGTTCAGTGGTTCCTCCCTCTGCCTCACAAGTGCAAGGGCCCAAGTTCGATTCCTAAGTAAATGAAATGAACATTTGCTAATTTGCTAAGTCTTGATATCAATATCTACCTGCAAAATCATTGCAAGAGTCAAGGTAATGAGCAAACCTGTCGCCCAGAAAGGTGTTTCATATCCTCCCTGGCCCTCCCTTTTTGCCTTCTGCTTCATACTTTCTAGAGAGCCACTTACCTCTTTTCTGCGCTGTAGTTGTTTTTGTTTTTTACAGTTTTAAATAAAGCTATATTGTTGGTATTCTTTGTTGCCTAGCTTCTTTCCTTCAGCATAATTGTTCTGCTGTCCACCCGTGCTGTGTGTGTTACACACTTCACTGTGTGAGGAAGCACGATTGAGGTGTATTGATTCAGCTGCCATGGTTGGGCCTTTCAGTTGTCTCCGGCAAGGGCCAATCCCAGCTACAGCTGCCCGGCGCGTTCCTGTGCCGGTCTCAGTGTGAACTGTGCTTTCGTTTGTCTTGGGCAAACACCCGGGAGCAATGCTGCGTGTGGCACCCAGGGTCTCCCACATCTAGGTCAGCCCTCTGCCGCTCAGCTCCATCTCCAGCCCTTTTTGTTCTGGTTTGAGACGGCGTCTTGTGAGCTGCAGGTGGGCCCAAGTGTGCATTAGCGCTTGCTCTGCTTGGTCCGTTTGGCCCTAGACATTCCAGTAAGGAAGGAGGGCGCCGTCGTGACCGAGTGACGGCACTGGGCATCTGTCGGCTGCCCCGTGGCGCCCCTGCTTCGGTGCCGTGCTGTTCTGTTACCACTCCGGCAGTACTGAGTTCCTTCTTGTCATGGAGCACCCGATCCTCACTGTTCTCTGGGCACGAGTCCGTTGCTAGATGCATGGGAAGAACATTCTCTCCCACTTTGTGGCTTGTCTTTCATTTTGTTTAGAGCATCTTTGGAAGAGCAGATCTTGATTTTTGGTACTTTATCGGTTTTTCTTGTATAAGTCAGGTTTTTGGTGTGGAAACCCTTGCCCAAATCAAAGTCTCAGGTTTTCTGAGTTCTGTGTTTTCTCCTGACAAATTTATAGTTTTTCGTTTTACATTTAGGTGCACGATCCATTTGATTTGACGTTGGTGGGTGGTGAGAGGTGTCTTTGGGCTTCTTCGGCATGAAGCCTCTTGCTGGAGCAGCACCACTGGTTGGTCTCCCTCTCCCTGTCCCTGTCCCGTCTCTGTCCCTCTCCCTCTCCGACCCCTTCCCCACCCCTCCCCCTTCCTCTCCTCTCTCTTTCTCTCCCTGTCTGTGTTGTGAACTATCTTTGTTTCAAGCATCAACTGATAAGATATTTTGGGGGCCTGTTAGTTTTAAACAGTAAGTCTTGGTGGCTTTGTAATAACCCTTACATCAGGTAGCAGGACTTCTCCAGATTTGTTCATTTCTTTTATTGGCCTACTGTTTAATTTATTTATCTTTATATTTAGTTTACTTGAATCTGGTTCCAAACAGCCAGATTTGTTCATTTTTTTCAAAGTTAAGTTTTGGCTTTTTTTAAGCCCTTCCTCTCTTCATTTGAATTTGAAAATTAACTCTTCACTTTCTACCAAAATCTCTCCCACTGGATTTCTTACCAGGATTGTGTTGAATCGACAGTTCAGTTATGGGAGAATTGAAATTTAAACCACATTGAGTTTCCCAACCCAGAGACTGGCGGGTGCTTCCTTACTTCTTCAGATGTGGCAAAGACACGGAGGTCTCTCCCGTGTCTTCGTGTTCTGTGAGCTGATGGACAGGCCTCTTGGTTTCTGGCTGTCTTTCCAGGAAAGTATGTAGAGTAAACATTGAGGGGTAGAGTTTCTGTCTTCCTCCTTGAAATTTAAACCACATTGAGTTTCCCAACCCAGAGACTGGCGGGTGCTTCCTTACTTCTTCAGATGTGGCAAAGACACGGAGGTCTCTCCCGTGTCTTCGTGTTCTGTGAGCTGATGGACAGGCCTCTTGGTTTCTGGCTGTCTTTCCAGGAAAGTATGTAGAGTAAACATTGAGGGGTAGAGTTTCTGTCTTCCTCCAGGGCAAGATGTGGATGTGTTTACAAGCTTTTTTTTTTTTTTTTTTTTTTTTTTTTTATCGCTATTAGAATTTTCTATCGACTGT